GATTAGCTCTTGAGGGAGGATGATTCAATGAAAAAAAAAATGAAAAAAAAAAAAAAAAAAAAAAGAAGGATGATTCAATGACGAGGCACGCTGGGCTGGCTCCTGAGACCTATGAAGATCGGCCGTTTGCAAATCACCATAGGCTATGGGCTAGACTGCTCAGACTTATGGGTCGGTCGGTTCATCCTCCATTCATTCTAGAGCTTGGTTGCAGCTCCCAAGCAAAACCCTCTGCTCACAAAAGATTCTCCGGCCAACCCCACGCCTGCAGGAACCCCTTCATTGGGGACTCTTTTACATTCGAGAACGCGGTCTGGGGATTAGCTCTTGAGGGAGGATGATTCAATGAAAAAAAAAAAAAGAAAAAGAAAAAAAAAGAAAGAAAGGATGATTCAATGACGAGGCACGCTGGGCTGGCTCCTGAGACCTATGGAGATCGGCCGTTTGCAAATCACCATAGGCTATGGGCTAGACTGCTCAGACTTATGGGTCGGTCGGTTCATCCTCCATTCAATCTAGAGCTTGGTTGCAGCTCCTGGCTCCTGAGACCTACGGAGATCGGACGGTTCCAAATCGCCATATAGGCCACGGGCTACCGTCTTACCCCGAACATAACGCACCCTAAAAATGAATGTATACAAGCTATATTTCCGGCCAGATGCAGCCAAAATAAGAGTGCCTTGTGATGGCGGTACGAGCAACCCCACCACTAGGTAGTAGCCCTCATATGTTTGTTTGGAGTTGCTTTTTTTTCTGATTCATTGTCCTACGCCTAAAGATCAGATAAGTGGCGTCCATCCAAAACCTCTTTCTGGACTACATTCATTTTCAGTGAGCAACTTCGCATATAATACCATATTCCGACCAGATACATCACAACATTTACAACTGCGATTGAATCAACTGAGTCAATTGCATGCTCACAAATGCAGCCTCACCTTTTTCAGCTCCCAGCGAATTAGCTGCCTCTGATGACATACGGGCCACTTGCGGCAGCAATGCACCATATTTGGAGGCTGGATACAAATCGCTTTTTGAGTTTGCGGGCTTGGATGGGGATTTGCGCCAAGCTCCATATCTACACACACAAACATGGAAGTCCAACCACACTTCCAACTGTTACCTAGGCAGAGTGTCCCCCATCCCCGCAGCATCGCGTGGCGGTGTTTAAAAATAATAATAATAATAATAATAAAAGGCGGTGTTTAAAAAAAAAAATTAAAAAAAATGGCGCTGTTTTAAAAAAAAATAAAAAATGGCGGTGTTTAAAAAAAAAA